CGACCTTCGTTTTTTTTTCACGCCGCCCTCTAAACTTTTTTCATTTTGTGAAAAAGTATCCTCTTTCAAATTTCAGATCAATCGGAGAACGAAAAGACGTGGCACATCGAATTTGAAATTTCGAATTTTCCGCTAATAGAAGAGCTAACTCTTTCTCAAATTTATGATGAATTTGTTGATATTATTAATAATTATTTATTTATAGTAAATTTTATCAATAAGAAGAATAAATGTCATGATGTTTTTCAATTCTATTTCCTAATATATTGGTTTCATACAGCATAACAGTCAATGTAGGATTGTATGCGAGCCTACTTATTGTTACGAGCTGAGAAATTTTAGCATGCTGACAAGAAACCTAGTAGAAAAAGGTAATTACTTGGGTTCTAGAGTTTATTTGAAGATAACATCTCTGCAGCGCGCGAAAATAACTCAATAAAGACGTCAAAACAAATAATGAAACGACGAATGAAAAAATGACGACCCATGGCCTAAGTGAAATTTCAGTTTTTGGCATTTTCTGCCATATATATTAAAAATATCCATAATGTGTTATATATTTTTCAGAGTTTAAAGAGTTATTACATAAGGGTATAAAATATAGGTCATTCCATAGGAAAAAAATATATTTTTATCTGTAATATGGTTTTGAATCCCCCTGTATACGTAAACATTACACGAAAAAAAACTTTTTGTTGAACCCTACAACTTTTATATAAAACTTTTTTGTCTAAAATCTAAAGAAAAAAGTTAGGGGGGTGGACATTTATAATGGATCACCCTGTACATGGGCCAGAGAATCGAACAGTTTATTTGGTACCTAAAACAGAAAACTTGGCTAAATTGTACTACTTGGTAGGTATTTTTCAATTTTTACAAAAGTATTATTTTCTCATATACCTATATAAAATATATATGTGCGATGTGCCACGTCTTTCCGTTATGTGATCGATTCCAGATTTTATAGAAATGATTTTTTCAATAAATGGAACAAATTTACGGGGCGGCGTGAGAAAAAAAATGTCTTTTATTTTTTCATACTATAGTTAAGGTCCACCCTAGTGTACAACAACGACGTGCTTAATTTTCAACACCCCAATACTTCAGGCATTACAGGTGCAACGAAGTTTTCTGGATTAGCCAATTTATTCACGATTAAAATGCTAACCCACGTTGGTGCAAACGGGCATAAATTGTTAGATAGGGATTAAATCGTTGTATAAACGTTTCATATAAACGTTTCATAGCAGATAATACGATTTAACTTGTATGCTTATGCACTAAATTGTGAATTATGAAATAAATTAATGATACAAAGTTGTATTAATTTCAGATTCTTAGCTTCCATTTTTAGCTTCCATTCCATTTAAGAATAAAGCGTTGAGTTGAATAGGATTTATTATAGACCAATCACGACGCTTAAAATTGCGTTTTTTACACGGGCCAAAATTTAAAACCTCTCTCTTTTTATACGTTGGATGTTGATATAACCGTTATATTATAACGTAGTTCTCATACACTGAATATTTTCTTATACAGCGTTGCCATGGCTTCTAAAAACAAATTTACAAACTGACATAATAATGTTATACAATAAACCAGCAAGAGTTCTTAAATTACACTGTGCGACAATTTTCGGGTCATCGAAATCAAACCGCACCGGACCATTTTTTTCTGAAAATATACCTATCCAATAGCAAAACCCTCGCTGGGTTTGTAAAAGTTAGCTCGAATTTTTTTTTATGGCCGTTTGTATTTTCGAGCTTTATATACCCCAATTTAGACCTATAAATCGATTTTTTTCGCATATATTCGACTTATATCGTCAAGATTTTTTGTAGAAATGTAGATACTGCACAAATAAACCCATTTTGTGAACAACCTTTATCCCAAAAACCCAATTTTTGGGACCAAATATTCGAAAATATTTTTTTTTTAAATTTTTTTGATAATATTTAAAATTTCTTGCTACTTCTTCTGGCAAAAATGTTGTAAAGTATACTAAAAGAAGTAATTTATAAAATACGCACACAAAACTGAACTTTAAGTTTGCTTATTTGCTGGAAAATAATGTTTGAACAAGATTTTCCAAAATATTCATCTTTTCACACTCAACACCAAATGTTTTGCTGAAAAATCTGTAGGAAAAAATTGAATAGATAAAATAGAATTGTAGAAAAGTACAGAGAGTTTGATTTTTTATTTTGTATTAATTTTATTATTAAAAAACTTTTTTATATCAAAACATTGAGTAATCTGATTCCATACGATACAAACCTATTGAAGTATCAAAAGCGAATCTAAGTATGCGGAAATACCGGTAACCGGTAATAAATTAATAAATAAACAAACAAGTGCAAAAAGTGGAACAAACGCGAAAACTGCGCCGTAAAATAAAAATAAATCAATATCGATTCTACAAGTGATAACTGTCCCAAGTGCAAATGAGTGCAAATTGTGTGTGGTACCTCCCCCTGGACTAAGTCCTCAAGTGTTTGACCTGGTTAAAAGGTGTGAGAGAGTCAATCAGTTCCAATGAAAATTTCCTGGGCTACCACAGGTGCGGTCGGCATGCGATAAGGATCAATCTAAGCACATCAGCATGGCAAATTATTTGCCGCAAATATCCCGAAGTCCCAAGTCTGCATAAACTAGATAAGTAGCTACCAAATTGCATGACCATGTCCACCCAATAATATTATTACTAGTTAATACGAAAATCACAACCTTTAACTAACAATAATTCTTCAGGTGAATTAATTAGTAGCAAACAATTTCCAAGATTCTCATGCAAATGAAACAGTAAAAAAAACCATAAACCCAAGGGCACATAAGAAGCCATTAATCACTCAAGTTACAATAAACATTAAGCAAAAGAAACCATCCTAAAGAAATTTATTTATTTATGTTTACATCTATAGATTACCAAGACGTAAGGGTTCATAAATTAAGTAATAATCGTTCTAAGAATCACTGGGATCACGCACAGTGGGAAAAAAATAATTCGAGGGTCGACAATTCCAGTAGGTTAAACGTATTTCCACATAGTCAGAGGGCAATTACGGCGGGGTGCGGCCGGCAACATTTCGGTTCGGAAGATAAGACTCAATAACGCACAGGGGGGCAAACAATTCTAAAGCGGCTATCAGGAAGTACACCAACAAGGAAAGACGCTAGCAGCATACTAATCCACCCACCCCCATTCAGGAATACCAAATGAATGGGGTTATTACTAAAGCCCTGGTTTAGGAGGATTCCGGATTGTACTTAGTTTTGGGTCAGTTCAATGTCCTCCAAAAACCCTTCCTAAACTGGACGTATGGCCCGACCTGGCTGACAAAAATCCCGGGAGCGGCCTTAACCTTTGACACTGTCATCCACGAACTCCTAGGGTGGATCTACCAGCCGGCGTAAAAACTTCGGATCCAACAAACACAGGTAATGCTGTGATTTGGCGGGATACGCAGGAAAACGGAAAGGGGGTAATATAACCCCGGGAGATCAGTGGATGACAATATATCTGGGGCCTGCCATACGTTCCCATACTCATACTCATACTCAAAACATTGAGTAATCTGATTCATTGCTGGAGAATTCCATCCCTTCCACTTCTTTTCCTTTATTTCCTTGCCCCTCATTTTCATTTTTTGATTCATCACTGGAGAATTTCATCCCTTCCACTTCTTCTCCTTTATTTTCTTGTTCTTCATTTTCATTTTCTTCCTGATCGTAGTCAAAAATGTTTACTTCACCAAAATATTTCGGCTAGTATGGCATCTAGAGTTCGCTTTCCTCTTTATCTTGACTCAAATGGCATCGCAGTTTGATGATTGTGTCGATAACTGTCGACTGAAGTAGTCCAAATGGCGATGAGGGAAATCAATTTTTAGCGACATATTGACTCCAATTTTGGAAAAAACATTCAACATTCGTCGCATCCTTCATAATTGGGAGAGCGATGTTTGCCTAAAAGTCCAATGATGATTTCTCTGTCAAAGTCTTCATACTTTACAAATTTCCGAATATCAGGACCATTTAAAACGCCTGAAATGAAATGAATATAAAAAATATATGAAATGAAGGGATGGAATTCTCCAGTGATGAATCAAAAAATGAAAATGAAAAACAAGAAAATAAAGGAAAAGAAGTGAAAGGGATGGAATTTTCCAGCAATGAATCAGATTACTCAATGTTTTGATATAAAAAAGTTTTTTAATAATAAAATTAATACAAAATAAAAAATCAAACTCTCTGTACTTTTCTACAATTCTATTTTATCTATTCAATTTTTTCCTATAGATTTTCCAAAAATTTCGGCAAAAAATTTGGTGTTGAGTATGAAAAGATGAATATTTTGGAAAATCTTGTGTAAAAATTGTTTTCCAGCAAATAAGTAAACTTAAAGTTCAGTTTTGTGTGCGTATTTTATAAATTACTTCTTTTAGTATACTTTACAACATTTTTGCCAGAAGAAGTAATTTTAAATATTATCGAAAAATTGAAAAAAAAAATAATTTTTCGAATATTTGGTCCCAAAAATTGGGTTTTGGGATATAGGTTGTTCATAAAATGGGTTTATTTGTTCAGTAACTACATTTCTAAAAAAAATCTTGACGATATAATTCGAATATATGCGAAAAAAATCGATTAATAAGTCTAAAGTGGGGTATATGAAGCTAGAAAATACAAACGGCCATAAAAAAATAAATCGAGCTAACTTTTACAAACCCAGCGAGGGTTTTGCTATTGGATAGGTATATTTTCAGAAAAAAATAGTCCGGTGCGGTTTGATTTTTGGTGTTGCACAGTGTTATTTAAATAATAAGATTATATTATATAAGCTTTTGTCGTAAATTTGTAAAAAATATTTTAATTATAGAAATAATATAACTTTTCAGAAGTTTTAATTCATCACACTTTGGCAACGTAGCATTTGATTTTTAATGGCTTCGTCGCATCAGCTGTTATTATACAAAGTGTATATTTTGTTAATTTATTACATGTTCTGTGATTTATTGGCTTTATTTAACGTATCAACTGTTGTTAATAAATATTTAATGAAGAACAGGTAAGTCACTTACATTAAAATCGCTTAACATAACCAAAGAAAAATACTTTTATATTTTCAGACACAATATTGATAATATGGATAATATAAACAATGTGGACAATGTGGAAAACCAATCCTCTGCCCTAAAAACAAATCTGGCAAATATGTATATAGGACGAGGTGAAAGAATATTACTTTTTAATATTGTAAAAAACATCAATAAAGGAAAATCAAAAAGTGCCAGTGTAATATTAACATCTGAAGAAACTGGTATTTTAAAAAGTACCATTTGGTTCAACATCATACAAATGGAAAAGGAAAAGAAAGTGGACAAGTCACCTAAGAAAAGTTGTTTATATCTTTTTTATAAATAATAAAATACCAAATTTAAGTAAAATTTATCAAGTAAGTAATAATGTTATTAAAATATGTTTAATAATTGATAAGAAATGTTCCCTTAATGTAAATAATAAATAAAATAGAGGGTAGGAACCACAGACAGGTCTGTGGTAGGAACCTATACCAAGTGCTGTCAAATAATAAAAATAGGTTTCGCCTAATAACCCAGGTAACCAAACGTGACTAACATTTTTAAATGTGACGTTAACGTGGCCAATATCTTAACTATAAAGTTGTGACCTATATATCTTTAACGAAAATTAATAATTTTGGAGACGTCGATTTGATATAGAATCTCCCTTTACCAATACTTTCACGATTTTCCATAAACGTGACTTTATTGTCACGTTATAACGTTATAACAAAAGTCACGGTATACCGTGACTTTAACTTTACGATTTACCGTGTCTTTAGCTACCCTCTTAACTCTTTATTCAATTCGGCATTATTGTTAAATAGGTAGGTAGGTATACTGATCTGATTTTGTTCTGTTTAGTATTCCCGTGCAACTAATTTGTTTTGAAACTAGTTTATTTAAAAATTATTAGCTTGTGTTTAGTTTTTATTACATATTATTTTCCTTGGAAGGCGTTAATCGTAAGTATTGTTTTTTATATTGTATTTCTATAAACATAACTATGGTTATGTTAACATTCATTTTATTATTTTAATGCCTTTTAACATTACCTAAATATTTAACAAGTAAGTGGTTTTGATTTAAAAACTTAATTATGCAAAAAATATCAGAATTCTGTTTAGTTAATTAGGTAGAGAAGGTTAATTTAACTTTATTTAATGAGACTTGTTTATAAACATTTGATGAGGTGCTAAATAACAGTATCCGCTAAATAACATAGAAAAGGTTATAAACAGTCCAATTCACTAACATGAGTCGTTAACGTTAGCCACTCGAATCAGTGGTTATCGCAAAATCCGACCAATCAGGTAGATTGAATATAGGGACAACCACTAATTCGAATGGCTAACGTTAACGATTCATGTTAGTAAAGTGGCCTGATTGTATATAATAGTCTACCGTACCTTCATTTGCAAGCTAACCATAGGGAAAATACATTGTAACTGGACCAGATAAGTCGCAGTCAACACAAAGCGAGAACCTTTTCAGAAAATAAAAAACAAATATAAAGCATCGATGTATGAAGCAAGGTCAACTGTTACGGCGCATGCTAGCCTACTCGTCCACGCGTCCAAATCATTTCTACAACGTTTTTCGCTTCGTGCTGACTAAGACTTATCTGGTCCAGTTACAATGTATTTTCCCTATGGTTAGCTTGCAAATGAAGGTATGGTATATACAGTGCTTGCAAATCCAAGTCCGAGCGGGTTCGGAAGGACGGTTGTTCAATACCCGCGTAAAAAGAACAAGGATAGAACGCCAAACAAAAATTCGTTGGTCAGAGCCGGCAGGCTACCACCACCTGTTTGGCGTTCTATCCTTGTTATTTTCACGCGTCCTTCTGAACCCGGTCGGACTTGGATTTGCAAGCACTGTATAGTCTATAGACTCGTTTTATATAGTTCTCCAGACACTAGTTTTTATTAAACACTCGCTCGTAAGCTTCGCTTGTGCCTAATAAAACTCGTAACTAAAATGGCTTTTATAAAACTTGATACATAATATACTAGCGAAGCGAAGCTTACGAGCGAGTGTTTAATGAAAACGAGAAGTTTATAAAACGAGTTGCATACTATACTTTATCTACGACGATTACAAAGAAGAATTTAAAGCCAATTTTATTTGTAAAATATTTGACATCTGTCAACTTTTAACGGAATTAACCTCACTTTTCCCTAATTTATAATAAAGCTAACTTCAGCCCGTGACTAAAATACCCAAAAGCCCTTATTGATAACTTCGGCACGTGACTAAAATGCCATAAATTTAAGTCACAGCTCGCCAATGTAGGAGTAGATAAATACTATTTAGTAAATAGGGCCCATATTTTTTTGGAAAGTGTCTACTGAACCGCCGCGGCGGTCCAAATAAATGACCGTAGCAAGTGATTTATAAGTTTTGCGTGGCCTAAATCTGCAAGAGCGTTCCGTGCACGGAACCACCGGCAGGATATTTGTTCTGCAAAGTGGAGGTCGTTACCGTCCTTTTTATAATTTTTTTGTTTTTGAAAATGAAATAAAGTAAAAAAAACTATATTTTTGGTTTTCTAAGGGTTTATTCGGATTGGGTTTGTTTTTTGGTCAATATAAGTTTTCCGATAGAATAATTGTCTTCAATAGGGTGGTTAGGCTTTAATAGGGTGCTTTCGCTGGGTGGGTTGTTTTTGGGTTGGTTTGATTTGAATAGTTATTATTCTGCTACTACAGTTCAAAACAATTTCACATTTTTTCATCGAATTTGTTCAATATTTATTTTTTATTCGAGCGCCGCGGCTGTTCAGACACTTTCATTTTTTGTTTTTTCTAGCTAGTGTTGACAATGAATAAAAGTAAAGTGTTATCTAAACGGAGGCGAAATGAAATCGCACAGAAAGCAGCCGAAGCTTTTTTAAAAGATTTAAAGCATGTTAATGACCGACCTACAATTAACCATGTAGTAAGAAATTTAACCCCTAGCAGTAATGGTTCAAGTAGCCCTGATATTACTGACCTTGAATGTATAAATAATACTCCGGGTCACGAAGAACCATGTCGTGGACGTAAATTCTAATAATAATAGTGACAATATTGTGTTGTTGCCTGCCCTGGATTACAATGTTTAACCTTTACCTAAATCAATTACTTTGCACAACATTAATTTAAAAAAACAACTGAGACTATGGTCTTTAAGAAACCAAATAAACCGTGTGCATTTAAATGAACTACTGGTATTGCTTAAAAAAAATGGACATTCAGAGCTAGAACCCTTTTGTCAACTCCAAGAAAAAATGTTATTGAAATGTTGCCCCAGGAAAATTTTGTCACTTTGGATTAAAATCAGGTTTAATGCATATTTTAAATAAAAATGATCTCAATTGTTCAAAAATTTTTCTTAACTTTAACGTTGATGGTTTACCAATTTCGAAAAATTCTACAAAACAATTCTGGCCCATTTTATGTAGTATTGTAGATTTACCTGACTCTCCCTTCCTCGTGAGTTTATATGAAGGTTTTGGGAAACCCCATAATATAAATGATTTATTAGAGCCTTTTGTTATAGAGCTTCTAGAAATTATGCAAAGCAAAATTGAAATAAACGGCATTTCATATGAAGTGGAAATAAACTCTTTCAATGTGACGCACCCGCAAAGGCAGCAGTGGCAGCGACAAGTTGTCATAACGCTTATTATGGCTGCAGTAAGTGCACAGTTAAGGGACTATTTGACAAAACAGTTATATTCTTAGAAACAAATTTAGAACTGAGGACTAATGACAACTTTAGAAGATGTTTTCCAAAACAACACAAAGAGCAGAGATCCATACTGGAACAGCTTCCCATTGATATGGTGCAAACATTTCCAATTGGTATGTTTAGGTGTGGTAAAAAAATTAATTCAAATTTGGTATGAGAAACCAGGAAAGGGAATGTTAAGTTCTCAAACGTTATACACAATTAATATAATAGCTGGATTCATTCAGAGATCAACAGAAAACAAAGAACGTTACAAGACTTTTCAAACTGGAAAGCGACCGAATTTAGAACTTTTTTAATATATACTGGCCCTGTTAGTTTAAAAAAAGCTTAAGAAGATAATTATTTTCAACATTTTATGTACCGTGTTCATTTTGATGTCCCCACAATACTGCAAACGTTATAATACAATTGCCGTTAAGCTTTTACAATTATTTGTAACGGAATTTCCTAAAATGTATGGAAAGTGCAACGTAACATATAATGTTCATAATCTTATACATCTGAATTCTGATGCTATGAAATTTGGACCACTTGACAGATTTAGCGCTTTTCAATTCGAAAATCATTTGGGAAAAATTAAGAAGGTGTTAAGGACAACTCCCAATGCATTGCAACAAGTTTTTAATAGAGTCTCAGAGTTGAATAAGGTGGAATTAAAACAATAGGACAAACACAAATAAACAGCCATACCCCTGGTGGGATTCGAACCCACGACCTCCGGCTTGTAGTCAGCAGCACTAACCACTAGACCACCGTCGGCGACGCTGAAATACTTTTCGTGCAGCCATCCGAATGCACTTGCATTTGTGCAATTGGTAAGTTTTATAACAATAATAACGTAAAGATTAAAATGATCATTTTAGAAATAAGTAGCCTCAAACAGGAAGTATCAGAACTAAAAGAATTGGTGGAGCAGTTAAAATCGTCTTCTGATGACGTTGCAAACCTATTGGGTAAGTGTTTTTCTACTCTTATAGATTTTTATTAAAATAATGAGATGTTACCAAAAACTATTTTGTTTCTCAGACCGATTGATCCTAGAATCCAAAAAACAATGGGATAAGACAATTGATGCTCTTTAAACAGCAGCAATAAATCAAAGAGAAGGAGTTGAGAGCAACAATGATTTAAAGGACATTTTTGACACTTTGCTGCCAATTTCGACCATCGATGATTTAAAATCTTTGGACGAACTTCTTAAAGTTGAAGAGAATGCCACCTATTTTGTGAGTATAATAAAAATTACCTAATTCAAATCCTATATTCTAGCGTGCATCGTAGACTAAGACAATAAGAAAAATAGGTGGAAAAGACTTCAAACATATGTTAACCAATGTAATAAAAGAATTATTTAGATTAGAAGTTCAGAAAAAAATTAATTGGAGTGGACAAAATTCAAAACATGCTTTAAAGGACACAGTTACAGCAGTGACAATAATAAATGTTGCTACAACAAGCTACTCTTGTACTAAAACGGAAGTGTTACATCATTTTAAATACCTTTTTCAACATACGTATGACCGTGTGAAGTCTCAGGTATGTAAAAAATCAAGTCATAGGTATATAACTGGTGTTCACATTAATACTTTTTTTCAGCAAAAGAAAAAAGAAATACAGCAAAATGTAGAACAGAAGAAAAAATATTGACTGAATATGCTTTAGAAAATTATTTATTTGGTTTTATCGTTTTGAAGAAGAATATATTTTTTTTAAGTTATTTATTTAGTTTTTTATTGTTTTAAAGGTATAATCATAAATTCTTCTGAAACCTGTTCCATTTTAGTGTTTTGTGCTTATTTAATTATTTAAAATATACATATAGCTAGTAAAAATTTAGGACTAAGTTTAGCAATCTGAGACTAAAGCAAATTAGTTAAAGACAGCTGTCACTATAGTGACTATAGTCACTAGTGGCGGCTGGGGGATTTGGGGTATACCGATATCTTAGTTATTAGACATGGGACCCAAAACTTGTATGAAGTTGTAATAAAAGCAGAATTTAAATTGTTGCGAAAAAAAATAAGTTTTTCAACGTGCCCCCCTAATTAAGATAATTTAAATTAAAGTGGGGCAATTAATAACTCACTATAGTTTATCAACAAATTTCAAATTTTATTTAAAAAATCCAAGATTACAAATAGGTATACAATTTTTTAAAATTTATTTTAGGATTAAAAAAAGTTTAAATGGTATAAAATCTACTTGTAATTTGAAATAAATTTTGAAATTTGTCGATAAACTGCAGTGAGTTATAAATGCATTATCTTAATTATGGGAGCAGGGGACTAGGGAGACAAGCTGAAAAATAGCTATTTACATACCATGGGAGGAAAATATTGCATTTCCTCCCGCGAATAGTTTGATGCCCGACGCGAAGCGAAGGGCATTAAATATTCAAGGGAGGAAATGCATTTTCCTCCTGAGGTATGTATATAGTTTTTTCTATTACCTTTTAACGGTTTTAAGACATTTTAAGCGTTCCGGTTCCTTTTACTTACCCGGTATGGGGTTATAAAATTATGACAAAATATTAAGTAGGTTTTGCGTCGCCGACGTTGTGTTGACAACGCTTTGTTGCTATGGTATTTTTGGTAATACCAACATAACAGTTTTTATAAGCTGTCATAATGTTTATCATAAATTTAATAGTTAATATGAATATAGTTTGTTAAAAGAATGGTTGGACAAGCGCGGAGTAAATCTTTTTCCTACAAAATCAAATAAGGCTAGACAAGGTACAAAAACTCTTGCCAATGTAAAATTTTTTAAAAAATAGAGGGAGGAAAATTTTTTTCCTCCCGGGGAGGAAATTTTTTTTCCTCCCGGGGAGGAAAAGAAGCATTTTCCTCCCTCGCTCGGGGGTGGAAAAATAAGTTTTCTAGTAAGGTAGTAGAAAAAATTACTTTTTTCGCAAACTTCAATTTAATATTATTATATAACTCATATTAGTTTGGTATGGGTTCTATGTATAATAACTGATATATTGGTATACCGGGATATACAGTGCTTGCAAATGCAAGTCCGACCGCACTGGAAAGGACGGCTGTTCAATACCCGCATGAAAAGAACAAGGATAGAACGCCAAATAGAATTTGATTGGCCAGAGCCCCGGATGCGTGCGAATTGTAAGCGAGGTCAACTCTGGCTGCATTTAAACTAAATGATTTAGTGTTAAGCCAAAGATTAAATATACTCTTTCTATTCTCTTTCTAGAAAGAGTATATTTAATCTTTGGTTAAGCAAACTGCGTTAGAGTGGAGATGCACATTTTAATTTTCTTTTTAAATATTTTATACCCGAATCCTAAAAATAATTCTTAATAAAAAAGATTTCTCAAATAAAAATAACTAAAAATAAAAATAAAACTCTAAATAAAAATATAGACCAGTGCAGAAGCCTTTAAAAATGGTAAAAAGAGAAAAAAAATAACAGTAGGATGAAACCCATTGGAAAAGGAGGGGAATATAATAAAAATTAAAGGAAAAATAAATTACGGGCGATCTGAGTTCGGGAAGTGGGAGGAGGGTTTTAAGGGTAAAAAATGGTTTATCTCGATTTCCGGCAAAACTACAAGTCCTATGGAAAAAAGTTAAATGTCAAAGTTGTAGGTAATAAAAAGATCTACAACTTTTGTATTTACAATTTTTTCACATAACCTCAAAATTTATGTGAAAAAATCAAAAAACCAAGTTTTTGGTTTTTTATTTTTATCTTTTTCAAAAAAAAAATTTTTTCCATGAAATTTGGTGAAAACTTACCTTTTTATGTCCCAAATACACTGTAATTTATTTGATTTGAAATATTTATTATTTCGCCTTATTTTGACTTAATATCAAAAAAGCACCCTAATTTTCAATCGAAAATTCTCGCGTCAAAATATCAGCTTTTATATTATTTTTTGCATTTTCTGAGAACATTTACCATAGGCTCTTTCCATTTCAAAACGACCGGTACGCGCAGGTCATGATTTTCTTTTTCTATGAAACTTAAATATGTTGTTTTTTGGTCGAAATTATAAGACACGTATTTTTTTGTTTGGCGAAAAAAAATTTTTGTTGTTGATTTTTGGCGATTTATTTTTTGCTGTAAAAATAGATTTTTTCCGTTGATCAAAAAAGCTTTTTTTTTAAAAGCGTATAACTTGTTGAAAAGATGACCGATTTTGACAATTGAACTTGCAAAATGCTTGTACTTATTAACACTTTCCATTAATAGTATCAAAAATTTTAAATACCTTGTGATAACTTTTTTATACGATAGAAAACAAAAAGTACGGAATTTTTTCAAAATAAAATTTTTCAAAAAGCGTATTTTTTATTTTTTTTATTTTTTTTTTATCAAAAAGTAGACAGTCCAAACTGCATTTTGGCTAAGGGACTGTTAGCCAAAACTTTTCGTTAAGAAGATATGAATTTTTTTTTAAATTCTATTTTTTTCACTAACGATCTCGTGCTGCTAAATAAATTTTATTTTTAAAGTAAGTTTATGTGTAATAGCAAACAAATAAGATTGAAATTTAAAGTTCATTGTGGTATGATCGTTTTAAGTGAAAAAACTTGGTGAATTATTTTGTTTAAAATCAAATTTTCAAGGCGAAATACATGAGCATAGACAAGGGATGGGTTTGGGTGGGCAAGATTTAGTACACAAGTGCCATCTAGGTTTAGTACTACTAAACCAAGATTGCCATGATCCTTATAGAATTATTGTTTGACTGATTTTTGTGTCATAACCTCATTTCGTTGACTGTGTCAAGTTGTGACTTGTTAAATATATAAAACCTGAAAATAACAAGAATCCATTAAAAAATACTGAATGATTATAAGGCATTGTTTTTTTTAAGTTGTACATAAAATTAATCTTTGGAACTGATTGATAGAATTGAGAGGCAGGTAATATATTTACTTAATACTCGAAAATTCCCTATGTTTATTATTTAACTAAGATCAAGACTTTTTTAATGCGTAGATTTTTGAGGTCTAAATAGTTCATTACATCTAATTATAATCTAATCATCTTATTTTTTTTTATTAAAGTTGTACATATCATTAATATTTGTAAGATTGCTAGACTTGAGAGGCAGGTAATATATATATACAGTGCTTGCAAATCCAAGTCCGACCACACTGGAAAGGACGGCTGTTCAATACCCGCGTGAAAAGAACAAGGATAGGACGCCAAATAGAATTTGATTGGCCAGCCGGCAGGCTACGACAACGCATACCCATCGCGCACCTCGCAGCGTGCTTGACACAAAGGATATCAGAACGAGAACTGCAGTGGTGCCAGCAAGAGGTAGTAATTTTAGTAAAAAAGATTATTTAATTAAAAAATGTAGGTACACGTTGGAACAAAAAGTTCAGATTTTAATCTGGCATTTTGCTGGTAATTCTGAACGAGAAATTCAAAGATTATTTGCGGGAATGTTCGAGGCCAGACCAAACAGAGAAACAATTCGACGAACCGTTAATAATTGCTTGTTCGAACATTTAATTTAATTTTTCAGTTTATTTATTTTTAGAGTTTTATTAGACCAGGGTCGATAATTTTTAAAACCAAAAAAAATAACAGTAGGATGAAACCCATTGGAAAAGGAGAAGAATATAATAAAAATGAAAGGAAAAATAAATTACGGGCGATCTTTGGGAAGTGGGAGGGGGGGGTTTAAGGGTAAAAAATGGTTTATCTCTATTTCCGGCAAAACTACAAGTCCCATGGAAAAAAGTTAAATGGCAAAGTTGTAGGTAATAAAAGGATCTACAACTTTTGTACTTACAATTTTTTTACATAACCCCAAAATTTATGGGAAAAATTCAAAAAACCAAGTTTTTGGTTTTTTATTTTTATCTTTTTCAAAAAAAAAATTTTTCCACGCAATTTGGTGAAAACTTATAATATTTTTTGTATTTTCTGAGAACATTTACCATAGTAATGTATATTTTTTTTACACCATCAGAAAGTAGAGAGTTCATCGAACAAAAAGCACACCGACTTTTTGAAAAAAGCTGATATTTTGACGCGAGAATTTTCGATTGAAAATTAGGGTGCTTTTTTGATATTAAGTCAAAATAAGGCGAAATAATAAATATTTCAAATCAAATAAATTACAGTGTATTTGGGACATAAAAAGGTAAGTTTTCACCAAATTTCATGGAAAAAAAATTTTTTTTGAAAAAGATAAAAATAAAAAAACAAAAACTTGGTTTTTTGATTTTTTCACATACATTTTGAGGTTATGTGAAAAAATTGTAAATACAAAAGTTGTAGATCTTTTTATTACCTACAACTTTGACATTTAACTTTTTTCCATAGGACTTGTAGTTTTGCCGGAAATCGAGATAAACCATTTTTTACCCTTAAACCCCCCCTCCCACTTCACGAACTCAGATCGCCCGTAATTTATTTTTCCTTTAATTTTTATTATATTCCCCTCCTTTTCCAATGGGTTTCATCCTACTGTTATTTTTTATCTCTTTTTACCATTTTTAAAGGCTTCTGCACTGGTCTATATTTTTATTTAGAGTTTTATTTTTAGTTATTTTTATTTGAGAAATCTTTTTTATTAAGAATACTATTTTTGTTAACTAGGGCAACAATTGTTGCCCTAGTTCTCAAGGAAAAAAATCAAAAAAATTTATTTTTAGGATTCGGGTATAAAATATTTAAAAAGAAAATTAAAATGTGCATCTCCACTCTAACGCAGTTTGCTTAACACTAAATCATTTAGTCTAAATGCAGCCAGAGTTGACCTCGCTTACAATTCGCACGCATCCGGGGCTCTGGCCAATCAAATTCTATTTGGCGTTCTATCCTTGTTCTTTTCACGCGGATATTGAACAGCCGTCCTTTCCAGTGCGGTCGGACTTGCATTTGCAAGCACTGTATATTATAATTTCCGAGTATTAAGTATACTTAATACTCGGAAATTCCCTATGTTTATTATTTAACTAAGGCTAAGACTTTTTTAATGCCTAGATTTTTGAGTTCTAAATAGTTTATGACATCTATACATTATAATTATCATCTAATCATCTTATTATCTATATCAAATATTGATGAGAACATGAGAACAATAAATTACACAGGGTCTTCAAAAATATATTTATTCTTCATCTGAAATGTGTACTATGCTTCATACATGACACTTGAAAACAAATAATTGAGGTTATTTATCTGTCAGTTTAATGCTAATTTTGACCTATTTTCTAAAAATAATACAATATATGTATGGTCATAGGGAATTCCCGAGTATTAAGTATATTACCTGCCTCTCAAGTCTAGCAATTAGTTACAAAAGATTATGATATGTACAACTTTAATAGAAAAAATAAGATGATTAGATGATAATTAGATGTCATGAACTATTTAGACCTCAAAAATCTAGGCATTAAAGTCTTAGCCTTAGTTAAATATTAAACATAGCCTATGTTACATAGGGAATTTCCGAGTATTAAGTATATTTACCTGCCTCTTAAGTCTAGCAATTAGTTACAAAGATTAATGATATGTACAACTTTAATAAAAAAATAATGCCTTATTCCACAGACCTACAGGTCTGTGCCTTATTCAGTATTTTTTGCATCTGCAATTATAAGCGTAGAACAACTTACATGTATGGAATCTTTAGGTATTGTACGGGAGCAATTAATGAATTGTTGTTATTTTTAGGTTTTATATATTTAACAAGTCACGACTTGACACAGTCAATGAAATGAGGTTATGACACTACAATCCGTCAAACAATAATTCTATAAGGATCATGGCAATCTTGGTTTAGTAGTACTAAACCAAGATGGCACTTATGTACTAAATCTTCCCCACCCAAACCCATCCCTTGTCTATGCTCATGTATTTCGCCTTGAAAATTTGATTTTAAACAAAATAATTCACCAAGTTTTTTCACTTAAAACGATTATACCACAATGAACTTTAAATTCCAATCTTATTTGTTTGCTATTACACATAAAACTTACTTTAAAAATAAAATTTATTTAGCAGCACGAGATCGTTAGTGAAAAAAATAGAATTTAAAAAAAAATTCATATCTTCTTAACGAAAAGTTTTGGCTAACAGTCCCTTAGCCAAAATGCAGTTTGGACTGTCTACTTTTTGATAAAAAAAATAAAAAAAATAAAAAATACACTTTTTGAAAAATTTAATTTTGAAAAAATTCCGTACTTTTTGTTTTCTATCGTATAAAAAAATTATCACAAGGAATTTAAAATTTTTGATACTATTAATGGAAAGTGTTAATAAGTACAAGCATTTTGCAAGTTCAATTGTCAAAATCGGTCATCTTTTCAACAAGTTATACGCATTTAAAAAAAAAGCTTTTTCGATCAACGGAAAAAATCGATTATTACAGCAAAAAATAAATCGCCAAAAATCAACAACAAAAATTTTTTTTCGCCAAACAAAAAAATACGTGTCTCATAATTTCGACCAAAAAACAACATATTTAAGTTTCATAGAAAAAGAAAATCATGACCTGCGCGTACCGGTCGTTTTGAAATGGAAAGAGCCCATAGTAATGTATATTTTTTTACACCATCAGAAAGTAGAGATTTCAACAAACAAAAAGCACACCGACTTTTTGAAAAAAGCTGATATTTTGACGCGAGAATTTTCGATTGAAAATTAGGGTGCTTTTTTGATATTAAGTCAAAATAAGGCGAAATAATAAATATTTCAAATCAAATAAATTACAGTGTATTTGGCACATAAAAAGGTAAGTTTTCACCAAATTTCGTGGAAAAAAATTTTTTTTTTTGAAAAAGATAAAAATAAAAAACCAAAAACTTGGTTTTTTGAATTTTTCCCATAAATTTTGAGGTTATGTAAAAAAATTGTAATTACAAAAGTTGTAGATCCTTTTATTACCTACAACTTTGCCATTTAACTTTTTTCCATAGGACTTGTAGTTTTGCCGGAAATCGAGATAAACCATTTCCCAAAGTCAGATCGCCCGTAATTTATTTTTCCTTTTATTTTTATTATATTCTTCTCCTTTTCCAATGGGTTTCATCCTACTGTTATTTTTTTTGGTTTCAAAAATTATCGACCCTGGTCTAATAAAACTCTAAAAATAAATAAACTGAAAAATTAAATGTTCGAACAAGCAATTATTAACGGTTCGTCGAATTGTTTCTCTGTTTGGTCTGGCCTCGAACATTCCCGCAAATAATCTTTGAATTTCTCGTTCAGAATTACCAGCAAAATGACAGATTAAAATCTGAACTTTTTGTTCCAAAGTGTACCTACATTTTTTAATTAAATAATCTTTTTTACTAAAATTACTACCTCTTTCTGGCACCACTGCAGTTCTCGTTCTGATATCCTCCGAGGATAATCCTCGTGTCAAGCACGCTGCGAAGTGCGCGATGGGTATGCGTTGTCGTAGCCTGCCGGCTGGCCATTCAAATTCTATTTGGCGTTCTATCCTTGTTCTTTTCACGCGGGTATTGAACAGCCGTCCTTTCCAGTGCGGTCGGACTTGCATTTGCAAAATCCACTGGTGAAAGATACGGTCACAATTTCAAAATCAAATATAACATTATTTTTGTGTCGATTTAGTAACGATTACAGCGTCACGTAAACGTTATGTCGATTCGGTTTAAAATAACGATAACGCTAACGTGACGAACACGTTAAAACGGCAGGTGAGCGGTTTTGTGAAAAATTTGAGTTTAAAATTGATATAGTTTCGACGATTATACACGTGACGATAAAGAAAACATAACTTCAATTTCTGTCACTTTTTTGTTACGTTTGGTTACCTATTTAAATATGTTTTAATTATTAAAACAAACATCTTGTGTACAAACTAATTGTTTTTCCTTTTTTAGGCCGAAAAGGATGATGATAACTTACCACCAATTTCTCAGACAAATTTATGGAGAATTAAAAAAAACTTGGCTTTAAGTATGAAAAAAGGTGTAGGAATCATTTACTGGTTGAAAAAAGTAAAATAGTAATTTGGAGAAGAAAATATTGATAATATCAGAAGTTACCAATTACAGGATCAAAAAATATATTACATGGATGAGACTTAGACCAATGCAGGCCACACAAAGCCCAAGGTGTGGAAGGACTGTAACTAATGACAGCAAGGGAGGCATTTAATGAGGGGTTATCGACTGGACTAAAAGACCCTTCAGGGAAAGGTTTGTGGAAGATGGCTTAAATGTATTTGAGTAAAAGTCAACAGGGAATTATCATGAGAAAATGAATGGAAGGGGCCGAGGATGGCGCAGTGGGTTGAGCTACAGAGCTGTAAGCAATCTGCGTCTAACGGTACCGGGTTCGGTTCCCGGTCACAGCCTTGGGTGTTGTGGTTGTTTATTAAACAAAAATAAATACCTATCATGAGCTGGCTAAATAGTCTTAAAAAGACTAAAAGTCAATAAAAAAAAATGAATGGAAATGTTTTTGAGACTTGCATAAAAAATGTTTTGTCTTTGTAAAGTTTTGTTTTTATTAATAAAACCTTCATTAATTG